GGAGAATGGTTCTACAGGTACCTTACCCATTTCTCATTCTCAAGTCTTGTTGAGATGGCAGGCTATTTTTCTGTGTGGGAAATCACAGACGATTCCATCCAATTCTCCTTGGACTTGCACCTATGCGCTCTCTGAAACTAGTAGTCAGCATTGTGAACTTGCTCCCTCTCTAGACCTGGAGTACTGAAGCCAAAAGGAGCTCTCTGTTACTGCTCCTGTTGAGATCAAAGAGCAAGGAATCAATCCTGGTAACTTTCTCACCTAGATGTGATTGCCTCACTACTCTGTGTATTCATGAACTTAGTGAAGCAGAGCGCCTTGGCACATTTATGCATGATTCTGTGAACAATGCAAATACAGATTTGAACAGCACGTAATGTTTGCAGCGATAAACACCAGTTGCCACAACGACTGATGCACTCAGTGCCTCAACTGAAAACAACGCTAACCATCTGCAGTTGCTGAGAATATCTTGAAGAATGACACGATCTCCTGCCACTAACCTTTACTGTGATAATTACACTGAATCACTTTAACAGAATCAGGGACAGGTTCCAATTAGCAAACAGAGAACAAAATCAAGGTTTGAGTTGATTTGGCTGCTCCAGTGCAGCTATCAACCTTGTGAAAAGTTCTCATCAGAATTAAATTTAGATGCTTCCAACATTCAGACTATAGTCAGGCTACTATTCAAGCATATACCTCAATTATTAGCTTAAATGAAAACTTCCTTTGCCTTGATTGTTCTATTTAAAGCATCCTTTCGGAAAACCACAATCTCCAACCTCTCCCTTCCCTGGTCTTCAACTCAGCACGACATCAACAACTTTGTGGAACTTCTTTGCTTTTGTCCCACCCACACCCAACACTCTCACTTTAAGTAGATATCTAGCTCTTGACAAAGTCATAACATGTGACTTTCCTGCCTTCAGACTTTGTCTTCAACCCTCATTTATTCTACTGATCCTGTTTCTCTAAGCAAGGTGCTAAAGACTCTGCTCCTGCTTCCTATGTTCCTGAATGAATTTAATGATGTTAGGTTAGCTCATCTGTGTATCATTCCAATAACACACCAAATCTTGATGACCAGTTTCTTTACTGTCTTCATGGTTGCCTTCACTCCTCAAGCCAGGAGTTCCATTCATTGAAATATCCATGAACTTTCCAAACGTCAATCCAAATTTGCCTTTTATCATACTGAAGTCATGTCATGCCAGTAACATCAATAAACAGACCAATTTTATCTACACTACTTACTTTGGATCCCTCTTTTGCATCACCCACCTTTTCATAAAACACTCAGACAATGAAGAATACCATGTAAGTGTTTACCTCCTTGATCAAAGAATTCCTACAGTGTGGAAGCATGCCATTTGGCCCATTGAGTCTGTACTGACTCTCTGAAAAGCATCCAACTTAGACACCACCCCCCCCACCCTATCCCTGTAACCCTGCATTTCCCATGGCTAATCCGCCTAGCCTGCATATCCCTAGTCATTATGGGCAATGCAACATGGCCAATCCATCTAACCTGCACACCTTTGGGCTGTGGGAGGAAACTGGAGCACCCAAAGGAAACCCATGCAGGCGCTGGGAGAATGTACAAACTCCACGGAGTCACCTGAGGCTGGAATTGATCCTGGATCACTGGTGCTGTGAGCCACCATGCCGTCCAGTGGTGGTGGTGGGGTTAGTCTATTCTTATTGGTATTGATTGAGGGACGAGTCCTGACGAGGATATTGGGAGATATCCTCTGCTCAATTTTGAATGTACTGAGTACTTTAGTCTGCGAGGGCAGATGGAGTTCCAGTTTAGTCTTTCATCATTCAGTGTTATCCAAGATGGGAGTGATGGGAGGAGGGGAGCCACAATCTTTTGACTCAAGTACAAGAGCATTCTCACTGTTGCATTGCATAAATGTGAACAAGACTGAGTCGTCTTCAGAAACTCAACTGATTGAGATCAGTCCACCTGTTGGCTAAGTTGGTCACTTAGGCATTGTTGAGCTACAGGTTACAATGTGAAACAATTCTGAGTGAATAATGTGTCTTGTTAGAGGAGAAAAGCTACTGGGTTAAATCTAATAAGACATTTTTGGCTGAAAAGCCTCAAAAGCAGTTCCAAACGTTTAAATAATTTGGATATGATCAGTGTCAAGCAAAGAGCTTTGCTTTTACTTTCCAACACATTTATAACTGGAGGTGATGATCAAAGTAAAGACTTTACCAATGACAATGAAAGAAACGAACTCATGGCACTGTTTTTCTCTCCAAACATTATTTTAAAAGTTGCTGACATGATAGGTCATTGACTATCTGAAAGACATAGAAAGTAGGGAGGTAAGGCCAGAACTTTTAAGTGGTACAACCCTGGGTTCAATAGAACATTTTGTTTGTTATAGAATAGTTTTGAAGCTTACAGAATAAAAGCAGATAGATGAAGATATAGATAATCGAATGGTCTCATCTGAACTTGTCTTGTGGGAAGTAGAGGTACAATGGTTTTATCCAGAGCCCCAGGTTAATGTTTGAAAACATGGTTTTGAATCTCACCATAGCAGATGGTGCAGTTTGAATTCTATAAAAATTTGACCTAATGACAAACATGCAAATACTGTTGATTGTCATGAAAGAAACCTCATCGGGTTTACTTATGTTATTTAGGAAAGGAAATCAGCCATCCTCTGGCATACATGTGACTGTAGATCCACAATAATGTACACGTTTCCCCTCTGGGGAATTAGGGATGGACAATAAATGCTGTCTCAGCCAGCGACACCCACATTCTATGAACAAATAATAATAAAATGATATTGAGCTCAACTTTTAAAAGGCTGAACGATATAGGAAGAAGGTAACATTTGAGGGAGATAAGGAGTTACAGCAGTGGTGCATTGAGTCCACAGTGTGAATGCAAGGAGTAGCTGGTCCTTAGGAGGTTTCAGGAGGGAAAATGCAGAGTACTCACAACATTGAGTCCTTTTGGCTACTGACTGAACAATATTTAGTTCTAGCAAACAAAGTCCCACTTTTTGCAAAGGGGAGACATGAAACTTGATGGAGATTTTAGAAAATGTTGAGAAGGAATGGTAATGCAAGCTTGTTTGTTAACTCAATAACAAGGGTTGCACCTAAAGATGAAGCCTAACATGGAAAAATGTTGGAATCAATTAAGGAAGTAATTGCAGCACATCTGAAAAATAATAAGCTAATCAAGCAGGTAGCATGGCTTCATAAAAGGGAAATCCTGTTTGACTAACTTATTAGAGCTTTTCAAGGAAGTCTCAACCAGAGTGGATAGAGGGGAACTGTAAGTGTGTTGTATTTGGACTTCCAGAAGGAGTTCGACAAGGTACCTTACAAAGGATTAGGTCATAAGATAAGGGCCCATGGTTGGAAGTAATACATTGGCATGGATAGAGAACTGGCTAATGGAAACAGCGAGTGGGAATAAAAGGGTCTTTTTCAGGTTGGCGATCTGTGACCATTGGGTTTCCAGAGGGATCAGTGCTGGAACTGCAACTGTTTACAACATACATTAATGACTTGAAGGAAGTGAATGTACTGTAGCCAAGTTTGCAGTCAACACAAAAATAGGTAGAAAGTTGCAAGAGGGATACTCAGTTTACAGCAATTTTGATGAGTTAAGTAAGTTGACAAATAGAGTAAAATATGGGCAAACATGAAGTTGTTCACTTTGGAAAGATCAAAAGAACAAGTATTATTTAAATGGGCAAAAAACTCAAAGCTGCAATGCATAGGGACTTGGAGGTACTGGTGCATGAAACACAGAAATCTAGCACATAGCTGCAGAAGGTGATCAGGAAGGGTAATGGAATGTTGGCCCTTATTTTAAGGAGGTTGGAGTATAAGAGTAGAGAATTCTTACTGGAACTGTACAAGGTACTGGTGAGACCACATCTGGAGTACCAAGGAGGTTTGGTCACCTTATTTAAGGAAAGGTATCATTTCAGTCAAGGCAGTTCAGAGATGGTTCATTAGGATAATCCCCTGTATGGAGGTTAGGGGTCTACTCAATGGAGTTTATAAGAATGATAGGTGATCTTGCTGAAACATCTAATTCTTATGGGACTTGACAGGGTAAATGGTGAGAAAATGTTTCCCCTCTTTGGAAAGTCTAGGACCAAAGGGCATAGTCGCAGGTTAAAGGGGTGCCAACTTAAGACTTAGATCAGAAGAATTTCTTCTGAGGTTTGAGTGTCTTTGGAACTCTTTGCCACAGAGAGCTGTGGGGACAAAGTCCTTGGTTCCATTTAAGGCTGAGATAGATTCTTAATCAGTAGGGGAATCAAGGGTTGCAGGAAAATGGATACAATGAATATCAGATCAGCCATCATCCTATTGAATGGTGGAGCAGGCTTGAGGAGCCAAACAGCCGACTATTCCTGTTCCTATTTCTTATGCTCTTATTAAAAAGCAAGACTTAAGATGAGAAAACTGGAGCAGATCAATGGGGAAGTTTTATTGAAGCAGATAACTGCAACTCCTGCCAGCACTGATCTGGTCTGTCCAGAAGATTTTGCTATTCTCAATATGTAAGTACAGTATGCTATTTCAAATCAATTTTGACTGAACTGTTCATTTGACCATTAGAAAATTGGCCACCTTGAATCTATTTTTAAGGTGTATCTTACTGCTATGAAGCCAAGACTGCTTTGAGTACCTCCTGTGTTTTTTTTAAAGATAATTTTCTATTGAGATAGCATAATTCATGTCCTTGGGATACCTAAAAATGTTTCGTAATTGTGAGGCTACTTTTGCTGTGCAATATTGAGAATGAACCTTATCATTATCATAACAAATTTAAAAGGATAGAAGATTTTGTGTGGGGATGTTGTAGCCTTGCAGGAGTGGAGAAAGAGGTAATACTGTCATAGGTACCTTAAAGTTAGCCACGTTGGAAAAAGGTACTAAAGTTGATGAAAATCCAATCTTTGTAGCAGCAAGATGTCAGTAATTCAAAAAATCTGACAAAGCAACACAGTTTGATAAAATACTTTTTATTATTTACAATTCAAATCAGAAATCTGATACAATTAGATATCAAAGCAAGAAACAAATTTGTATGAAAAAAGAAAATTCTTGGAAAAGAAAGCATATTTCATTGTTCTCACAATATTCCTTAAATTCCAAAGTCTCAGCTTTGGCCCATTTAGATTCTTGGTGCCTGCACTATGAAATGAGATGAAATGGCTTAATAGTCACAAGTTTTAAATACCTCAGGCCATAGCTTTTTTTTACTCCAAACAATTAGAATACATATTTCATCACATTCAAATGCTGTTGAGAGAGAGAGAACATATAAAAATGATGCTGATTTTTGTGTATTTTACAGTTTCATTGACTTTGCGGAGGATAAATAATACTCATTTAGCCCTTACAGCTCCAGTGACATTGTTACAGTAAAATAAAACCAGCCATCGCTATTACTGAGGAAAACAGCACAATATTCTGGAATTTTCTTGCATTCGATCCTCCAGTGTGGTTAATTAAATGTGAAGGCAACCTCCTGACTGCACATGGCAAACAATCAAATAAAAATAATCTAATAAAAATGAACAGTGGTTTGACAACATTTAAAAAAAATTTTCTGAATAATGCAACACTGAATGAATATCAATTTTGACAGGTTATCCCTGGGCAGGTATTAATAGTAGTATACAGGACATTCCTCACTTACACTCATGTTACATGATGCCTGGTAAACCTGATGGAACTGCTTTCCAATTGGACCTACTTGCAAATTAGGGATACAAACAGGCACTCTACAGTAGAATTATTGTAAAATATACATTCATTCTCTGGTATAGTTTTATTCCAGCAGTGACTTGCAGAAAATCCTTCTGAAGCAGCATACATCACTACACCATCAAACCACAACACGTGACCCTTATACAATGTCATCCATAACTCTAAAAATATCTAAGTTATTTATTACATATTTCTTTATTTATTCGAAGATGCATGAAGCAGTAGGGCAAATGATGAGAGCTGGAGGAGAGAAATTAAGAGTTCTAGTATGCAGGAGTATAACTCGGGAGCTCAGCTCCTCTCAGTATTGGTGAGTTATATGGGTCAAGGTCACTTGGGACATTTGTTCCCAAATTTATAACTTTAAGTGTTATATGATTTTGCTGCCAACCGTTTTACTCTTTCCATGGTCAAGATTCCAGCATTGAAGAAAATGTAGAGACCAAGAAAACAACAGATGTTATTGTGGGGATCCTATATTTAAAACATTGCAATAAACAGGATACTAGCATGGCGGGCAAGAGAAATTCAAAACTAGCTGACCAGCAACTTTTACTAATGTAGACATATTCTCAAACAAAACTGTGAACATGTATAATCAAAATAACATACATACATGAAATAATTGCAGAAAATAAATCACTTTACAACTTTCTAATATTTTCCTTTGCAGCCTTTACATATTCAAAATGAAAGGAAATAATTCTAGTGGTGGCACCACTCTATGGTACCCTACCCATGATTCGAAATAGCCGACAATCTTAATCAACGTACAGGGCTCAGTAATTGTGTAAACCTACGAGAGTCTTATATAAATGGAACACATATTTCTCAGATCTTCCATAAAGCAGTCAGTAGAATAAAAAGATGTCTGACATCACCTCCTCAAAAATCCATGCATTTCATATCTCAGTTAGTTCATTTGGATGAATCCTTATTTTGATACCACTTTTTCTTATGATTACCTCATCATCATCCTCAAAGTGCTTAAAATAGCATTTGTTTCAGGGGAATTCTGGCATTTTCAATATATAAAGTCAACAACAGCCATATTTACAGTACATATTCATGAATTGTTCCAGCAGGACTTTTCTTTCACTCAGTGCAGCTTTTTTAATGTAACTCTGGAGTATCCAGTGTTCAGTACATACAGACTTTAAGAATTGGATCAGTGGTGATGCTCTCCAGGGGTGAATAATTGGCAATTAGTCATCGACTGCCTCATCACATGTAGGAAAGAATGACAACTTAGAAAATGGTGGAAAGCCTATCAGAGAACTGTTTCCAGCAAGGGGCAGTGCCTTTCAGGGTGCAGTTCAAACAAATTACTCCCTTATGTAGCTCACACATCCCAAAAGAAATAAAATCACCTGTAACTTTATCCAAAATTGCCTGGTCCTTAATGAACCATGTCCTTTCTAAAGTCATAGAGGCCAGCCTACTACCATTTGCACATTAAAAATGTCTAAGCTCTATGAATCTAGTTACCGAAAAAAAACCAGGAGTATTGCTTATCTGTAACAATTATGGTGGATGGAAAGGCACTTCCCTTGGATCTAAATGCATCCAAGGTCCAGTGCATTCACTGAACCAGGAATCCACATTACAGTGTCAATGATGAAAAGCCTACTACCAGCAGAGAGGGAATGGCTGGAATTAATAAAGTTAAAAGAAAGGCAAAATACTAACAATGCCTCTAGTTCAGCATACTTGACTGACCCATAATCACGACATTACATAAAATTTAGTAAATGCTTATGCCAAGGAGCAGTCATACATTAAAGATTAAGAATGTTTTGACATGGGCTAGCAGAAGAACTAGTGTTATGGGACAATATTGGTGGCATTGCAATTATATTACAATGCAGGACAATGAATATTCTTTGGTTGAACAAAATCACTTGGCATACAGAACTGATCTAAGAGAAACGAGGGAAATTCCAGTTGCCCCTGATCCCAAGTGGTGCAGTAGACTGATGTTTCACATGGACTGTTATTTAGTCATGATCTAATCCTGTATTGTAGATTTTTACTAGGTAGACAGTTCAAATCACTCAAATTAGAGTTGACTCACAGCATTGTAATCTAACTGTACTTTTGTGTTAGGGCAAGTGATTTGTTACTGCTCAGAAACTGGCTTTTAATGGAAAATTGAGACTTATCTGGGACAGTACATTAAGCTACTTGTGACAAATAGAGGAAACTGTTAGAGGTTGATGCACAGTCCTGGTCAGGATTAATGTATGTTTAACTTTGACAATATGGAACTAAGGATTTCAAACATTCTTTACAAATCTCTTAAAAATTACTCAAATAACGTTTAATTTTATCAATTGCCATGAATTAGTGCAATTGCAGTTTTCTGATAGCTGAATGGATTTTGTTCCAACAAGTACAGACAGGTTTACTTACATGTTGAAAGGATTCCAGTTGCGTGATCCGTTCAAATCCGGAAGGCAGTAAATAATTAAAAGGGGGAATTAATCAGACGCCAGTGAAAGTCAAGGACTAGTGGATGCTTTTTGTGATATAATTCTTCAGCAAATTAACCATTTTTCACTCATCAGAGCACCTCAAGTGTACATAATGTTTTGAACTATAGGAAGGTTCTACTGGTCAAATACAATTTTAATCTTTGAAATACAAATTCTGTAGAAAATTCACCTGTAAAGTGCGGATTTGCTTTTGATAGTAAAAAAAATTACTTGAAAAAATGAAATTGCACCCCAATCACTTGATAGTTTCAAAACGTAAAGAAAACTATTTAGTGGAAAAATATTCCTAAATACCCCCCAAAAAAGCTAGTAGAGAAGTTACAGCTATTGATCAAGTAGATGTGAAAAGGTTCACACATCCTCCAGAGCATGTCTACACACAGTAGTAAAATCCTATGAACCCCAAGGCAATTCCCATCACTTTGTTCAGATGACGGGACTCAGCAGGGATCAATCAGAAAGAATACAGCAGTACATCACCTGAATTGTTAAGTCAGAGCCACCTAAAATAAATTAGTAGTTGAGCACTTATTATGATCAAACATTTACTTAGCCAGGATTTAAAACCTCACAACCCTGACTGCGAAGGTTTTAGAATGAACAATGGTAATATTTTAGTCTATTAATGGAAGGCACATCTGGGGGCATTTTCCACTAGTTCTCATTTTCTCTCCAATTTCAAGTTATGAGAAAGTGATAGAGCTTTGTTTTGAATTGTTTCTTCATTTCCCATCCTGCAATGTGGATATGACATGTTGTTAGTGGAAGGTAATTTAATTGAATGGACCTTGAAAGCATAAATGATAATCTTCTCAGATAAACCAGATGAACTGTCATGAATATTAACATCAAACGCTGTGATAAAAGTTATGTACCAACATGTACAGACTATATTTTACCCTACAAAAACAGTGTTTAGATAAAAACTGGGGGACCAGGACAGAATAGAAATAAGGGGGACATATTTTCCAGTAGCAACATAATAAATCATGTAATTTGGCAAAAAAAGTCTTGTTTTCTCCCCCCAGGGGCGTTGATAGAAGACGATCATGGATGTAAGACCAACCCAACTGCTGCAACAGAATTTTTTTAGGATTTTGTCAAAGGTATAAAAATAGAAATGGAGATAGAATTGAGAGAGAAAACAAACAGACAGGACTGATCCAGCAAAGTTCAGGAAGCTTCATGTGAACAGGGTGACAAGAATCATGCAACACGGTTTGCCATTCTAATTCATGAATGGGCTCAAAATAAGTAAAAATAATTTAACCACAGCTTTCAAAGTAATATATGGCATTTTGGCAATGGTTAATTTGTCAGAAAATTCCAAAATGTGATCCTTACCAGAGTGGAAACCACCTCTGTAAGGTGCAAGGTCAGCAGTGCAGTGGAGCTGAAAAAGCGAATGCTGGAACACTTTCCAATTTGTGAACTTCAGAGTCACTGCACCAATATTGCAGTGGACAGGGCAGGAGAGAAAGAAAAAAATCAGCTGAGTAGCAAAGAGGCTATAATATGAAAAATGGCATAAAGCGCAGCGGAATTTCTGCCTCTCCAACTTTCTAACATATTGACTATCATTACTATTTATTTTAAACTTTTGGCTTTATAGTTCATAAAATAATCAATACTTTGTTTTTATACTGTATGTGTGTTTCAATGCTGCACATAGATGTTTAACAAGGATGGGCCAAGTGCTTCTGTACTATAGAGGCTTGCTATTTATTGTCAGCTCTTATACCACATCTGTCTATTAATAGTCACGTGTGATCTGTGATACAATAAGAATGTCTCCTCTCCATCTCCAATCAAATATTTTACAACACTATTAAGAATAAATGTGATTTGAAACACCTACTGATTTATTTTAAGTGGCCTATGAGGCTGATGTGCAAACAAGTTTATTTTTATCTCAATAACTCGTGAGTTTGACATAAAACTCACCAAAGATGAGAATCAACAGATGTGCTTAAAACTTGAAGATAAGTAAAGGCACCCAAAATATGAGAGGGTCATCTACACGAGACAAAATCTGCACTGCAGCATTGCCAAAAATTTATATCAGAGAACAGTATTATGCATTGAAGTATCAGCCACACTGCCCCATTTTAAATGTACAAGAAGCCACCTGCACCATAGTCTGGCTAGTGCCACCATGTTCAGGTGAGATTAAATTAGTCCCAAAAAATCCAACTATAACACATTGATATTATTTTAAAAACAGCATTAAACCAAAATCAATGAATTTATGGCACAGGATATTAAATTCCAGGCATTTTCCTATGGGTTTAATTGGAGCGTGTAAGAATGCTCTCCAACATCTCCTCTTGTTCCATCGGTGTTGTGACTTCCTTAGCTTCATTATCTACTTTCTGCTTCTTACTTACAGTCTGACCGATGGCATCGTCCTTGGTAAGTTCTTTGGCAAGAATAGAAGTCATAGCATTGCCTCTTCGATTAGCTGGGTAAAGATAGAAGACACAGGGCATTAGCCTTCCTGTTGTGTTGCAACATTATAATCAATAACTTTAGCAATTGGAGATCAGACTCCTGAAGCTATGCAGTTTCCAATATTTCAGGCATGATTCCAGGACAGAAAATATTATGACTGAATGACAGTACCAACAACTCTCAAAAGACAACTGGTCAGCAAAAGATTCCAGCTAGGTTTGGCAACAACGAGAATTTATTGTCGGGATACTTGAAGCTAAAATGAGCGATTATGAAGATATCACTAATACTTTAATACCACCTAGTGAATTTAAACATTTTGGGAATCAGGTCAGCTAAACATCACGTTTTCCTCACTCCAATGTTCATACTCAGTTGTGCCTGGAAAGGTTGAAATTCAAATGGTGCTGATGGTATGGGATATCTCATGTGGGTGTTTTTTTTTGATCACAACAGACTGTCAAAGATTGTTTTGCATCTGGCAATAAGAGATGGAAGTTTTTTTTGACTAGGTTTGTCAGGTTAATGGTTATCTTCTGGCAAACTAAATGGAGATTTCTGATAATCTCTGTGCTTAGCATCATTGAAATAGCATGCAGATATTGTAAAGGTTAAAAGTCATTGACAGTGAAGCAGCTGAAAATAGAGGGAATAGGGTTGGGACAGAGCGGAGGGAAGGCGACGAGATAAAACAATTTAAATGCAAAAAGATTAGTGAAACCACACAAATGCACAACACATTATTTTGGATAAGCTTTTCACTGGCCTCAATTTAAATAACCAAACTGATAAAATCAATGCCACAGAAAGCCAAAGGATAATGGTTAAATAAATTCATAAACATTCCATTCAAAGGTTCTATCTATTTTTGTAATCCTACTCTTCAAATTTAACCATCACAGAGGCACTTCCACCTGAACAGCCACAACCCTGATGGATAATGCTGGATTATCAAGAAACAAATTCCTGAATTCATAGAGACAAATGTGGTAAGTTTTTGACAACACAGACTTGTTCATGACGACAGAATGTTAAACTTTGGAACAGACTAGTGGTCACTACCTTTTCTCAGAAATTACAGTAGCCATTGTCTAAGCACAAGCGACACACTTGTCAAGAACAGGCTTCCAATTTTTAACCAGGGATTTCTTGAAGCTGTATTTCTGTTGAAGGTTTACTTCATATAGTCGTCACTAAGTAGTCTATCACTGTTCTGCTGTCCCACATGAAATAAAATAGGCAAGAGGATTGAAGGAAAAAGTCACATTTCTTGCGATTGACTGCCACCTAATAATTCTTACTGTAAAGTGGTTGTGATTACTGAGCAGAACAAATTCAGGCTCAGCTTTGGTGCTCCTGAATCCTGAGAGTTAAATTTTCTGACCACACTTACTCCTTTGGGTCATACAAGAGTATCATTTATTTTTTGAGGAGCTGCAGCCAATCATTTCTTACTTCCCACTCCCCACACGGAATCTTCCCTCATTGAGAAGTTTAAAAAAATGGAAACCAAACTATATGATGGATGATCCTCACCTTGCTTTGTTACTTAAAGTAGAAAAAGATAAACAATTATTTTACACAAAGCCAATAATATCATGAAGGTTCCTGCATGAATACTATTGAACTTGGCAACAGAGAAGGAGCAATGAGAAAGCTGATGACACACAATCTGAAAATGACATTCACATCTGTGCAGTCAGCGTTACAACTGTACAAATTCTCAGTGGGAGCTTGTCCTACTGGAAAGGCAGAATCCTCTCATGGGACAACTGACTTCAAAATACTGCAGAGGAAGAGCCCACAATGGAATTTCATACTGAACCATCAGGTAGTTTTGGAAAATGTTTACTGTATTCATGTGAAATGCATGCAGCCATATAACAACAGACCCAGGCCTGATTACCCTTGGGCTACGTTTGTTCGATACCATTTGTTAAACCTCTGGTTGTGGGCAGGTTAAACCAATAGAGGTTACAGGCCTGCCATTGAAAGCAAATGGCAGTGAGATGAGAGAAGCTTTTAATACATTTAAATTGTTTGAATAATCTTGTTTATATTGTTCATTTAATGCACTCTTAATTCCCAGAGTGTCATTTTTGTATCACCTTCAGGATTCTTCAATTAATCCAAGAGCCACACAAGAGTCAAAAGTTAAAAATACGAGTTTCAAACTTATTCCCTTGACATTTTCCAGAGATGCATAGTTTATCCTAATATAACAGAAGGTAAACTTTATCCTTCAACTACAAGGCCCTGTGGTAGGGATTCACTGTTAGCACTCAAAGGATAGCATAGGGAATTAGGAACAGTGCAAGTAGGAGGAACAAACCAAATCACAGTAAAGCTGGGAAGAACTTGCTGAAACTCATAAGGCTGGGATAACCAAATATTAAACCTGTCATCCTTGAATAAGCTTTATAGAAGTGAGTGGAATCTGGTCCTGGATTAAGTAGCCACTCAAGAAGTGGTAGAACATTTTCTTTTATATATTCACTAACAGGATGTGGGCATCACAGACTGGCTAGCATTTATTGGCCACACCTTGAGAAGGAGGTGGTGAACTGCCTTCTTGAACCGCTGCAGCTCATTTAGTGCAGCAGTGTACCCATAATTCCAGGGAAGGAGTTAAGTTAGGAAGAGCAAGTAACCACTTAAAATTACAGTTTAAGATTCTTGCTTAAGAATACAATTTTAAGGTTTCTTAGCAAATTATACCCTCCTTCACCTACATGTGCACTAACTGGAAATTAGATTGTACTCTAGTATTAAGCAGCTAAGCTCAACTTTGAACAGGAAAAGGAGAAAAAAAAAGACATTGAATTCTCACTGATTGAGCAATTACCTGTCGGAGAAGAGTCAGAACATGCATCTCAAACAAACATGCAAATTCAGAGGAGATTTGGACATTCGGCTGTTCAAACCTGCTCTGCCATTCGATAGGCTCTTGGATGATGTGACATTCAAGTCTACCTATATCTGCACAACATTATCAGCTCAGAAGATATCACTTTGGTTCTGGGTGCATTTACTTTTGGCATTAAATATACAAACTGGAACACCCTCAAGATTCCTGGTATTGTGTCAATTATTTTCATAATTTCTAAAAGAGTCATCCTCCTCAATCTTTTCCCAATTCAGAAGATCATGAAAACATGTTAAACGGAGTTAATTTTTGTACAATACCTGAATTTTACAGCATACCTCATCAAATATTTTTCCCATTAACTTATAAACTAAATATCCATCTTGTATTTCTTATTTATTTGTTGAAATATTATGTTGTTGGCATCAAGTAGAAGCACCAACTGAGCGTGGAATAAATGGTTGCTATGATTTGACATCACACAAACTGCTACCCTTATAAAAGAATATGAGGAATGAAAGATCAGATCTGAACTACGTTGTCAGAGGACTGTGGATTGGAATTGAGAAGGTAGGATATGAATAGACTTATGTAAATTTTAAGTCAGAACGTTTACAAGTGAAGTGAACCACAGAATAATACAGCCAGGGGGAGAAGGCCATTTGGCATACTACATCTATACGGGATAGAAAATTATGCCTGAGTAGAAAATGTGTCGACTGTGCTTTATACTTGCTACTCAATCATTTTCACTTAGCAAAATCAAAGATCAGAATGACAGGTTATGCCTGGAGAATGACAATCTTTTCATTTTCTGCATATAAAGGGATCTCCCAGCATTACTGAAAGGGTTAAGATTATGGGAAAGGAATCTGGAACAAGTAGGAAATCGTTCTCATTTTTTCTTTTTACCAGATCACTGCCGTCACTGATATCAGACAGAGATAACATTGAGTCTAAAGGAAATAAAGAGAAAATGTTAATCGGAGGCAAATTTAATAGGCATTGAAATAGATGAGCTCCAAGAATATTCCTGATTTGTCTGAAGGATGAGAGGAAAACAGAAATTATCCAGCAAAAACTGATTAATCTCAATTAATTCAAAGTAGACCATAATAACTTAAGCTAGCATTTTGGCAAATCATATCAAAAAATCATTTAAATGAATATGGAGGCTGGAAGCCAATGATACCATTTGTGTTACACGATACAAGATAAACACAGAACACTGTGTGCATGTTTCCATCAAATCAAATAATCTTCACTTTAACCAAATACTGACCACTTTGCCAAGGTAAAATTCACATTTCATCAAGTTCAGCAAAAGCAATATGAATCATTCAAGATGCATTTTGGATACTGTTTATGGAGTGCAACTCTTGGAACTCCCCCCCCCCAAAAAAAAATTGCAGATGCTGGAAACTGGAAACAAAAACAGAAATTGCTAACTAAACTCAGCAGGTCTGGCAGCATCTGCAGAGAGAAAGCAGACTTAAACGTTTTGGACCTAGTGATCCTTCTTCAGAACTCCAGATCCATAACTGAGTTTTTCCATCAATTTCTGTTTTTCTGTCTTGGAATTCCCATCCTGGCCCACCTAATTTTCTCCTTGAGTACCAACTTGTTGGAAAGTGCCAGGTAGTCTTTCACTTACTCGAAAGTATTCATGCTGCAGCAGAGACAAGGAATGCCTGCATTCTCACAATGTGACAGCATTCGGCGTGAAAGAGGTTACTGTGGAACCATTGCCCTTAATTTCTTTTTACTCACCCAACAATAGAATTACAAATAATGAGGGTGAAATAACATGGTATACAACATGACCAAATCTGCAAGCTTTCGTACCAAGAGCTAACCAATGAGTATGGCTACATTCTGTCCTTGGGGGTCATTGCTGGAGTATTTTTGATAAGAATCAAATTATGACAGTGTTCTCTTTTCATTTGGGCCCCAAATATTGGGCTGTACTTTAGCTGGACAAACATCAACAACATTTGTTCAGTGTCTAAGTAAGTTTGAACTATTTATTGTAGTAACTCAATATAAACCTAAAATGAGGGGCATTAAATGGCAACATTGTTTGTCTTGACTGCAGTGCACTTACACATATCTAATCTATGTGAAACAGGAAATAAATAAAGTAA